CTCATTGTCAAGACTTAGACTATCTCCCTGTGCTGATTAGCTCTCCTCATTTCAAGGCTTTTAATAGTGGTATTGTATTCAAGACAGTCCAGTGATGTGATAGAAGCAAGATTTGTGAAGTGAGGCAATACCTTTTATTGGGAAAACTTTTATAGCTGGGGGACATAGGAAACAATTTTTCCCAGTTCAAGTCTGGGGAAGAAGTCCATGATGGGATGGGGAGAGTGTCCGCAGCTGGCACTTTCCCCCTCAGCAGCAGGGGCTTTGGCAGTAGTTGCCTTCCCCTGCCTCCGTGGAGACAATCTCAAGGCAGAGAAGAGAGAACAGAGGAGGGAAAAGGAGAGAAATCCTATCTTATGACTCTTACTTTCCCCTGCAGAGAGACCTGCAACTTATATGGGTCTGTGGCTGAAGGATTAGACTCTTAAGTCACAGTAAGACCCATCAATAAAACATGGTACAGATCAACTTCGATTTGAGGGATTGCTGCTGCCAATGACAGAGACAAACGATAGCTGTGGACACTCTCCATGTGCCGCTGTGGGGAAAAGCGGTGGTGGTGGGTGCTTTCCCTGTGCAGCCATGGGGAAAGCAGTAGTAGCAGTGTCTGAATCTTGCTACCAACTCAGCCCCATGGATGCAGGCTGGATAAAATGGCTTTGGCTACTGTTGGTTGCTGGCCCCTGTCATGGACCAAAAGGGCTTCAGCAAGTACAGAAAATGTTGTCCATCAGCTTTATAAAACATTACAGGACTGACCCTAATTCATAGAAATATAGAAAATTAGTGTTGGAAGAGACCTCAGCAGGTCATCTAGTACAACCCCCTGCTCAAAATAGGTCTATCTCCAACTAGATCACCTTAACCAAGGCTTTGTGTTGCTGGGTCTTAAAAACCTCCAAGGACAGGGATTCCACAACCTCTCTGGGTAACCTGCTCCAGTGTTTTACTACTCTCCTAGTGAAAAGTTTTTTCCTAAGATCTAACTTAAACTTCCCTTGCTGCATCTTGAGACCACTGCTTCGTGTTCTGTTATCTGCTGCCACTGAGAACAGTCTAGCTCCATCTTCTTTGCAACCACTCTTCAGGTAATCAAAGGTTGTTCTTAAATCGCATCTCAGTGTTATCTTCTCCATATTAAATAAGCCCAGTTCCCTCAGCCTCATCAGAAGTTATGTGTCCCCTAACCATCTTTGTTGTCCTCTGCTGGACTGTCTAACTTGTCCACAAGCTTTCTGTAGTGGTGGACCCAAAACTGGACACAGTACTCCAGATGTGGCTTCACCAGTACTGAATACAGGGGGAAGAATCAATTCCCTCGATCTGCTGGCAATGCTCCTACTAATGCAGCCCAGGATGACTTTAGTCCTCTTTGCAACAAGGGCATACTATTGGCTTATATTCAGCTTATTTTCCACTATAGCCCTCCAGGTCCTTTTTTGCAGAGCTGTTGCTTAGCCTGTTGGTCCCCAGCTGTACTGGTGCATGGGATTGTTCCATCCTAAGTGCAGGGCTTTGGATTTGTCCTTATTGAACCTCATGAGATTTCTTTTGGTCCAATCCTCCATTTTGTCATGTTCTCTCTGAATCTTAGACCTACCCTCCACTGTACCTACTACTCCCCCCAGCTTGGTGTCATCTGCAAACTTGTTGAGGGTGCACTCCAACCCATCTTCCAGGTCATTGATGAAGATACTGAACAAAACTGGCCCCAGCACTGACCCCTGGGACACTCCACTTGGTACCAGGTGCCAACTAGACCTTAAGCTATTGATTACTACCCTTTGAGCCCAATTATCTAGCCAGTTTTTGTCTCCCTTACAGTTCATTAATTCAACCCATACTTCCTTAGCTTGCCTGCGAGAATGTTGTGGGGGACCATATTAAAAGTCTTGCTTAAATCAAGGTATATCACATCCACTGCTCTTCCCACAGAGTCAGTCATCTCATCATAGAGGACAATTACATAAGTCAGGCATGACTTACCCTTGGTGAATCCATGCTGACTGTTCCTAACCACCTTCTTCTCCAAGTGATTAGAGATGGATTCCTTGAGGACCTGTTCCATCATTTTTCCAGGGACTGAGGTGAGGCTCACCAGTCTGTAGGTCCCCACATCCTCCTTCTTCCCTTTCTTAAAAATGGCCACTATATTTGCCCTTTTCCAATTGTCTGGAACCTCTCCCAATCGCCATGAGTTTTCTAAAATAATGGCTAGTGGCTCTGCAGTCGCATTGGCCAACTGCCTCAGCCCCATGGATACATTCAGCTTTTCTAAATAGTCCCAAACCTGTTCTTTTACCACTGTTGGCTGCTCACCTCCTCCCTAACCTGTTCTGCCAGATGCAGTAATCTGGGAGCTGACCTCGCCTGTAAAGACTGAGGTGAAAAAGGCATCAAGTACTTCAGCCCTTTTTACATGATCTGTCTCTAGATTGTCTCCCCAGTTTAGTAAAGGACCCACAATTTCCCTGATTTTTCTCTTGTTGCTGACATACTTGTAGAAACCCTTCTTGTTACCCTTCACATCCCTTGCTAGCTTTACCTCTAATTGCACTTTGGCCTTCCTGACTTCATCCCAGTGTGCCTGAACAGTACTCTTATACTCCTCCCTAATCATTTGTCCAAGTTTCCCCTCCTTGTGATCTTCCTTTTTGTGTTGTAGCTCACTGAAGAGTTCCCTGCTAAATCAAGCAGGTCTTCTGCCATACTTGCTAGTCTTTCTGCACATTAGTATGGTTTGTTCCTGTACCCCGAGTAAGGTTTCTTTAAACTATAGTCAGCTCTCCTGGACTCCTTTCCCCATGAGACTGGCCTCCCAGGGGATCCTGCCTATCAGTTGTGAGTGAGTTGAAGTCTGCTGTTCTGAAGTCCAGGGTGCTTACGTTGCAGATCTCCTTGTTTCCTTTACTTCTGCAGAACTACACATCTGTAGGAAGTTGCACCATGAGGTTGTCCCTGTATAACTTAATTTTTTATTAATTTTTATTGATCATATTTTTTCACCTGCTCTTCTTTCTAGTTAAATTTGTTCTGTAGTGTTCACTGTGTCCCATCCATCTCAAGCTGTGAACACATAAGAGTGCTGAAGCTGGAGGCATAAACCTGAAGTGAATTCCACTTGGTAGCTGAACACAAATTAAGTAGGCTGGGTATTTGAAAGCCTGGGTAATGAACAGGTTTTGCACTTAAAGTTAGACATTCAAAAGCTTGAAAAATGTAGTTCTGATTTGTTGGGACAGGGCAACAATTTTCAGAGATCATGGCCTGTTTACAGTCTGGCATCATGAATTAACCTGTTTATGTGATAACCATGGCCTCAGGCAGACTAGTTTAGAAAGTTAGATCTTATAATGTCCTCTTTGGGAATGACATCCTCCATAATCTATTCTAGATAAGATAAATCCTTTATGTGCTTCTAAAGTCTTTGGGGAGTCCCATACTAATTATAAACATGGTGGAATGCAGGATAAGAATTAAGAAATACATGCATGGGAGTTGCTATTTCCACATAGCTTTAGAGCAGGGGTGGGCAAAATGGTGGATCTGATCAGCGACCAGACTCCATTTCCCAGCAGCCCATGCCTGCATGGCTGGGACTGGTTTCCGTGGAGACCTGAGCAGCAGCCACACTGATAGTGGGAGGCCAGGGTTTCTATGAAGGCTGGCCCCAGCAGGACTGGCAGGGCATGGAGCAGAGTGCAGGGCTGCTTCAGAGTTTGGCTGGGATCTTGCATGTGGTCCAGAGCCAAGGCAAAGCCATGATCTATACCCTGCATGCCCCAGGCAGAGGCATGCAGACAGCAGATCGTGGCTTTGCAATGGCTCCTTGCAGTGATGATGGTGTGGTCTGGAGCCAGGGCAAAGCCGTGATCTGCTGCCTACACATCCCTGCCTGAAGCATGCAGGCTGCAGATCGTGGCTCTGCCCTGGCTCTGGACTATGCTGTCACTGCCAGGGCCGGGCTCTAGAGCAGCTCCCTACCTTCTGGCGCACCTTGCCCAGCAAGGGTGGTGCCAGGGAAGGGGCTGGGGGGCTATAGCAACCCCATAATTCCCCATAGCCACCCCCCACAGTGGCGCTGCTGCCCACCCTGCACAGGCAGCAGCAGCTGATCATACTCCACTTCCACCTGCAGGATACCCCCCTCAGTGCCCCCACCAGAAAGGGACTGGCACTGCTGCTGCCCACTAGAGCTGCTGGGGCCAGTCTCCACAGAAACCGCAGTCTCCCACTATCACAGTGTGACTGCTGCTGGGGTCTCCATGGAAACTGGCCCCAGCCACACAGGCAGGGGCTGCTGGAAAATGGAGTTCATTGCTGGCTGGATTCAGCCCATGGGCCGGACTTTACCTGCCCTTACTCTAAAGATACTTCAAATACAGGAAATGGTCCATTTTAGCTAGGAAACTGCCAAGAACTAGATTTTCCTTTTTTGAGCTGCCAGTTAGGCAACTAAAATCTGGGGTTTGAAAACCTTTGTCTTGCATTATTTGTAAACAGAATGATGATTTCACAAGTTTTTGCTAAAGTGATATTGCTATACGATTCACTCTGTCCGCTTCTATCTCCCTTAGGTATGATATACTAACTGAATTAAAAAGTAGTAAAAACACTTTTTGTAATTGAATCCTCACAGTTAGAAGATCTGATGAGTGCCTTTTAACTTAGTTTCTTTTCAGAATAGAACTATGCTGTTAACAAAATTACAACCTTCAGAAACCATATATCGTTCTGAATGATTCATAGTGGTATTCTATTAATTGTGGAAAATGTAGATAGCATAAAAGGAGAAATGTTTTTGTTCTATAAGGTAAAAACTTTTAAAAGTCCCCACCCACAAAAATAGACTATTCAAAAAACAACAGCTTTCAAGCAGAAAAAATATTGGAGGAGTCGTCAAAGATCATTTTATGCTACTCTTGAAAGATAACCATTTCAGATTTATTTTATCATCATTTGCTAGTTTTGTTTCTAATATGTACTTTGTCTAATTTCAGATTGTAGAACTAGAGGACAGTTTAATGCATTTTCATACCACTTTCGGGGAAGACGCTCTCTTGATTACAGCTTCCAGGAGGACAAGCCCTTAAAGAAAGCAAAAACAGTAAAAACAGTAAGGTAAGGGTTTATATAATGCAAAGTATGGGAAAGGATTTATTTTTTCAAGTAAGGAAAGCTGAATGCTTTGTTGTAAATGCAGTCTCTATTCCATAGGTTTTTTGATAAATTTAATTTTGACAGATCTAAATATCCAGCAGCAGTAGTGCTCACCTTCCAGCTCAGCATCAGTAATAATAATAATAATTATACCAGTAATTCAATCCTAGTTTTTTTTTCCTCAAAAGAAATATGGACTAACAAAGGTAAAGGGAGTAATTTGTAGGTCTTTGTTACATCCACTTGCCAGGAACATGCTCAAACTCCTGCTGTTCTTATAATGATCTAAGCAGTGAGTTATATGTAGTCCAGCCTCTGTCTCCCCACATGTCACTTAACACTTAATTAAAAATTAGGCCAGGCCAGAGACTACAGAAGAGAAATCAGTAATAGTGGATCTTTTCAGAGCAGGGACTGTGGAGAGGTGTGTTGTCAAGGTGATGGTTGTGGCTTCCTGATCCTTAATTTTCTCCAGCACTGATATAAGTTAGAGAAGCCTAGAATCTGTTCTAGTCTGACAACTGGTAATGGCTCATAAGGGGCCATACCCTGATTGCATATTACTAAAGTAAAGTGGAATCTGCTTTATCCTGACATATCCTTTCTTTGCCTTACTCTGCTGTGGTATATTGGAGTCAGTCGATGCAGGAACCATAACTGTCTGCTTTATGTCTGAGACCTGTTCTTTATCCCAAGGGAATTTTTGGACTGTCAGTGGCAGCAAATTTTAGCTCCTCTGCGATATCTGGAGCTGAGAGGAGGACACTTTGCTTTTGTGTGTTTTTAACTCTAGGAGGATGTCCAGTCCTTTGCATAGTAAGAGCCCATCGTGTCTCCTTTCTGTTAAGAAGTTGTGTTCCTTGTGGCCTAGTTACCACATGCTGCATCTGTTAAGCAAGCTTCTTCAATTATAACTCTATTGGATGATAGTGGTTCCCAAGAATCTTACCTTTATATGGCCCGTTTTAAGGAAAAAAATATCCACATTTTTAGTGCATAATTCAACAATAAAATCAAGCCTTGACCTCTTCACTCTTCCTCAGAAGTGTTGGAATCCCCTCAGACTGAAAGAACAATCAGAATGAAACAGATTCTTATGTGGAATTTGCAGTATATTATTTGTATTTTATATGTATACATCTGAAAAAACTTTTGCCAGGTTCTCTTACACCTGTTAAGCACATAGTAAACTTAGCTGCCAAAGGCTGTGGACAAAAAGAAACTTGCAGCAGCTTCAAAAGGGGAGGGGAAGTTGCTACTTAGGAGCACGTTGAACAGCTGATACATTGCACCTGTTATGTGTACATGGACCTGTAGCAGTAGATGGGTAGCAAAACCACTCAAACTTTAACCCTGCTTCATCCAAGGTCAAAGCTGAGGTGATTTACCTCACTTGTATTGCTCTGGAACCATGCAGACATAGCAGTTGCAATGTAACCGCTGATTCATATTCCCCAGTCTCCCTGTCTCCTTTTGAAGCCACTCCAAGTGAGTGTTTGCCTAGACCCAAGTATGATTCTCTTTCACCCTGCTTCAATCCCTGAAAAACTGTTAATATAGAGGGTGGGTCTCCTCCTCACTGCTAGGAGCTCCGATTTTACAAGAAAAATGACAGTCAAGCTAAATTATTCTGGTCCTTTCAATTCAATTCATTTTCTTCTCAAGCCAAATAATCAGTAAAGCAAGAGTGATCCCAGCTTGCTCCAGTTTGTGCTTTATCTTAACACTTCGGTGGAAGCTGTACTCAGGAAATGAGAATACAGCATAGAACAAAATTAAAAATACAGAACATTGTCTGACCATACATTCAATTTCTACCTATAATAATCTGTGAGCCAGAACAACTGTTACAGAAAATTAGTAAATGCAAACAGGAATCAAAACAGTGCTTACAGGTTTGATTTGTGCTAACTACAAATATATGCATCTCAGGTCCTTGGCTATTTGAACAGTCTTTTAAAAATATTTATGTTTTTAAATAAGCAGTCTTTCTCCTTTCAGTTGCTGCTAGTGAAGAGTACTTAGTCACAGCAAAAAGTAATAAAATATAAATTCTCCAACAGAGCATTTTAGCACTTCCCACTATCTAGCCAGATAAATTTATCTTCCTTGGAGAGAAAAGTCATATTTGAAGTAAATTTGGTCTTTCTATTTGCTATGCATACTTCAGTCTTTTAATAATAAATCTATATACTAGCAGGCCCCAGTGATGTAGGTAGACATAGAATGAAAAAGACTCTGACCCTAAAGAATTCATCTTCTGGAAGATGAAGCTAAGACAGGTTGTTTTGAGATGTCTAGTTGAAGCAACAACGTAAAAGAAGGTACCACGTAATGTGG